ATACCTCGAAAAAACGCCCCAGTGTTCCAGTCGGACCGTCCCTCTGCTTCCTTCTCTTGCGCATGCTCAGATCGGGCTGAGCACGCGCAGGGGAAGGAAGCAGAGGGGGGGGGGGGGGCGCCCAGTGCCCCCCCCCTCTCTCGGCCCCACCCCACCCTGCCCCCGCACGAGCACACGTCCAGCTGCCACGCCAGCAGGTACCAAATGGTTGTCTTATACAGCGGAGGCCGATATCACGATCAAAACATTGAAGCTGTAACAAGAAAAAAAAATTACCAATCTGCAGAAGAAAAGTCGTTGAGGCTCTAATGCACAGGGATCCGAAAATTCTTCCAGTATATAAAAAGCATTACGAGGTGCGTTCAAGTCAACAGGAGCGTCGTTAAGTGGAAGAATTGAAGCGAATTTCTATAAAAGGACCTTGTCAGTACTTTTAACTAGAACCTCTCGTAAGATCGGATATTCTTTCCAGAAAATAAGGGAAAGAGGGAAAGATACACTCACCTCAGCTATTCCCAAACAGTTAACACCTTTCTTTCGTCCGATCGGTCGCACTTTCACACTGAATGATTGGTCGGCACAGTCGAACGTCCTGGAAGTTGACTTCTAATAAATCGCGCGAGGTCAAGTAATCTACGTAACTATGCACTTACAAATGCAAAACTGCTAATGATTCGTGCATCACAAACCTCAAAAGATTTTGCATGATTCAGCACTTCTTTACACAGATCATCGTAAGAACTGGCAGAAAACATGTGGAAGTAAGCAGATTTTAGGAGCAGTGATCTCGAAAGGATCTTCCTTACGTCTTCTTCACTACTAACTTCAACAGTTAACACATGATCCTGCAAATAGAGGATTTTAGTAATTCTCTGGCTTCGTAATAGCGTACTCCCAAAGAACGTAACACGTTATTCAAGGTGAGGAGTTTGCTGAAGAAACTGAGAGCTTCAACTCATTTCGTGTTTTGCTTGAGCTGGAAGTCAACATTGCAGAAAAACCGCGAGCGTTGCTCACACAACAGTCAGTGTCGATCATTATGCAACTTTGTTCGCTGCGGACGAAGGGGCGTGCCAGTGAAGTAGGGTTTGGCCCATTTCCTATCAGTTGCTGGAGCGTGTAAGCGACAACAACTAGCGGAAAGCGACTTGCAAGAGCATGACACAGTCTTGTCGCCTGCGGAAAGAAAAAAAAACGATTGGTGCAGCTCCAAAAGCATCCCTATGGACGTCCCCCATCCGCAGCATACAGGACTATACCACGAAAAGCAAGCAGCAAATGAGTAAAGCACACTACATTCCAAAAGTATGCCTATCCAGTTAGAATATT